TTTCTTCTGACATGCTGGAATTCCGTTGTAAATTTTTAATATCTAGAGTTTTGTTCTATTTTGATATATTTGTGACATTTTTTCTTATAATATTTTATGGGTAATTATATGTATATGTAAATAAAATATTAAAAAGTCTATTTTTAGCGTTTGTGATTTATTAAGCTATGATGCTGACCTTTGCAAGAAAAATGAAAATAAAATACTCGTTTCAAACTTCTTTATTTGTTCATGTGTTCACTGAAAAAAAACCACCAGTAAGGAATGGAACATTTTTGAATTTCGGGGTAGAAATATATTAATATGATAGTAAAATATCATTTACGATTTTACGTGCTTCTGATTAACTTAAGTTTATACAGGTTTTTGATCAAAAAGGGAAATTAGGACTATTCAGAGAAAGACAAGGAATAAATACTAAGAAAGTGTTTCGAGTGTGTCTAAAACTGCCTTAAATCAATTCTCAATGGAACGGTTATAGTAGAATATACCAAATTATATGAGTCATACTGTACGTGAGTTTCGTGCGTTAGTCCAAACTTTACACCATTAGTAATATTCTGGCAATAAATTTTGATAACAAAGATAGAGAAAAATCAACATTAAAATGTGGTCAGTTGAGATACATAATATGAAACAATGTGCATTACCTATTGGTATATAAATTGAAAAAAAAAAAAACATGTGGTGACCTTTATAAAACTCACCTTCTCAAATAACCATTGCTCATTCAATATAAAAGGAAAACTATAGCAGCTGAAAAGACTGTTTAAGTACACAAACTTATTACGGTCGACATTGTATATTGTTCTTTTAATCTTACAACAAAAGTTTACATAAAATCTGCTACCTAATACATTAACATAAGTATAAGTTCTGTCTTGACTGTACTAGTTTGCAGTTCATTGAGCTTTCTGTCTTAAATATACTGGTTAAGATTTCGCCATCTATTCTGATTACACTGGCTAAGATTACATCCTTTACTCCGTATACATTACTTCCTCTACCGTGAGGACACTAGATAACATGATGATATCTATCTAATAACATTAGTTTATATTGCATTATCTTCTCTGAATAGTGATGTCATGCAGCTAAATTATTTGGGGGGGGGGCATAGTCAGAAAACAAAGTACTTTTTTCAATGATGGGTTAATAATATTAGGTCGTCAAGAAATTAAAGTCGCTTTTTTTAGATAAAAAATCCGAACAACTTATATATCAAAACAAAACATTTATTAAATGAAATAGTCTCCATTCTTATCAATGATGATTTTCCATCTTACAATCAGGTTGTTAATGCCCTGATTAAAGAAATCACTTGGCTTGGAAGTAAAAAACATGTCGATGTCCTCTTTAAAACCTTCCACATTTGCATACGTTTTCCCATTAAGATTATGTTACAGCGAATGAAAAAGATGGTAATCTGATAGTACCATATCTGGAGAATATGGTAGGTGGAAGAGAACTTCCCAACACAACTCCATAATCTTGTGTTGCGTCAAACGTGCCACATGTGAACGTGCATTGTCGTGGAGAAAAGGGACACCTTTCTGATTGACGATTGAAGGGCGTTTCTGATGAAGGGCTTGATTTAAACGTTCCAGTTGCTGGCTATAGATCTCTGCATTGACAGTTTGCTGTGGATTGAGGAGCTTGAAATGAATTTTCCTTTGATGTCCCACCAAATGTAAAGCATCACTTTCTGCGGATGGAGTCCAGGTTTTGGGGTCGGAAGTGTTTTTTTCTTGGACTGAGCCGTTGATTGTGGCGTTTAATATTCGCATATAGAATCCAATTTTCATCACCGGTGACAATTCTGTACCAAAAATGGTTCACGCGAATTGCACGCCAGAAGAGACGAAGCAATGTTCACACGTTGGAAACGATGATCATCGGAGAGTTCGTGAGGCACCAGAACACCTTCTTTAAGGAGTTTCTCATATTCCTTATATGTTTACGTATTGTTTCTTGAGAGACATGCAATTTCATGGCCATTTCACGAGTGTGTTGCCTTGGGTTAGACTCAACAAGCGTCTTCAGAGCATCATTATCACTTCAAACATGTCGGTTCCTACCATCATAGTTTTTAAGGCTAAAGTCACCTGAACGAAATTTTCTGAACCATTGTTGATACTGACGAACGTTCAAAACATTTCCATAAACTTCTTTGATATTCTTTGTGGCTATAGAGGCATTGTTTCCCTTCTTGTATTCAAACAGCATTACATGCCGAATGTGTGTCTCGTCGTGTGCCATCACTATAAGGGATTATGGTATACTAAACTTTGCACATTATATAAGCTACACTAATGTGTCGTTTAGGCGGTTCGTTTAACTATTATACGTGATGTACGTTTTTGGGTGTGGTTAATGAAAGTGTTCCAAAAGGCGACATTAATTTCTTGACGACCTAATAGTAATCACACAAAACGGATGCCATTTATTCTTCTTTTATTAAGTTTCCCCTGTTACTTTAATTAACTTATTAGTTTCCAATACAGACAGATATTTTGAACATATTTAATCAAATGTTTATACATGTATTTGGGATTATTAAAACATTATATGGAAAGCATTTCGTGAGAAGTGGGTACTAGTTTTACCTTACATTAACTCTTACAATTTAACTCTATTAGTTAAACCTAACTGAACTATTCTTACCCTAAATTAAAATCTTTCAACTTGAATGTAGTAGTTTCCCTTAGATTAAATCTTCTAGCTTCACTGCTCTAGTTTTATTTTATGATTTTATATTAAACCCTCCAACCTGCATGGACAAATTTTACCTTAGAGTAAACCTTCCAACCTAACTGCACTATTTTATCCTGATAAAATAGATGTGTGTTATTCCTCTGACACTTCACTACGATAATTCAAATTACGTATTCTCGATTAATTTAAATGTCACTTCTATTTGAATACAATACTTGATTTACTTTACCACACAGAACTAAATGGCTTAAATTACACCTACTCTTACCGTACTGGCTTTATTAAGGCTTTCAACCATGCTTACACTATCTTACCCTTTCTACATTAGCTTAAAATGAAGCTTCTTACTCTTACTATGCTGCTTACACTGAAGCTTCTATCCCGATCACACTTGTTAACAACAATCCTTTCATGGTGACTTTGGTAAGTTATCTTAGATCTCGAGCCCTTATTATGCTACCTAAAACTAAGCCTATAATCCCTAATACACTGGTCTACATTAAGCTTTCTACCCCGACAATACTGGCCTACGTCATTTTGAGTTCTAATCTGATTACACTACATTAAGTCTTGTGGCTGCTATTAAGTATTCTAATTTTATTTTGCTGGGCTAAATTAAGCCTTTTAACAAACCTTTTTGACATGTGGTTATGATACAGCAGGTTAGAGGTATGTTGTTGAAAAGAAATAAACTCTTTACAGAAGATTTGGTGTTCATACAACTCTGATAAACCAACTCGACGTTCAATGCATTCTCAGACAGTTTTTATAAATCACTTTTTTGCTGCTTTTAAAAAAAATGAAAATAACTACCAAAGGAAATATAATAAATTTCAGTTTTACAATGATATATGAAGTTACAAAACATAATTTTGTACAGAAAATATCTTTTAGGTTCAATAAAATAATTATTTCTCAATAATTACGTACCAATACAAGTTCGTTTTTATCACTTACTTTCAATTATATTCGCAATTAATAATAATGAACTTTAATGGTTTATAAATAAAATTCATCGTAGGATTTACACATCAAATGTACTTATTTTTGCTTTTATTTATGATAATATAACAATTATGATTTTTACTATAAAAGTGGGTCAATATTTTAAACTAATTCTGCCCGTTTGGTTGCCATCTTTGTATATGAACATGTTCGAAATGTTACTTAACATTATAAAGATTATCACAGAGAGGAATAGAAGCTAAAGGAGGTCAAAGGTCATGTTATAGGTAAAGAATTGGAAAGGTATGATAAAACAAAGAAAGCTAGAGTTGTGTGATAAGTACATTTATATGTTAGTATATCTGTTCATCGAAAATTTATGTTTATTTTACACGTTAGGAGTGATTTGAACTAAATCCTCTATAAATTCAATTTTCGGCGATTCTGTGAAATAAAAGATTGATTTTATTGTCTTCAACAGTAACTGATCGCTGATTAGCCCCTTGACAACCTCCTACATACATATTTAACTACATATATAAAATAACAGAAGATACGATAGACCATTTTAGAACCTTTATTAAAGGTTATATTCCTACGAGAATGTAACTTAATTAAGAGTTATTATAATCTTCACTAAGATCTACTTGGTTCAAAAGAACATTGGTTAGATTCTCAGGTTCGAACACGTCTGCTTGCCTCTCTACTATATCCCAAAGGTCATTGTAATTAAGGGACATTACCAACAGTTGACGAAAGAGATTACCCAGACTGGTCAAGCCAGGCAGCACGACGGATTTGGATTATCGTGGTTTCCAACATGGCCTCGTAGTCTAAGAATGACGCTGCGTAATGAAGCAGTAAAGTTCTATTATTTTCGAATCATTTTTTTCTTTTTTGCTATAGATGGACGATATCACTTATCGCCATATGGAATATTCTAGACTTTCTGATACACAGAAAGCTGTTCTCTGATACCCAATGAAACATTATTTTTAATTCAAAAATCTGAAATGTTTAAGTTTAGAAGTATGTTGTTGAATTCAGTCGACAGAGGTCGTAGTAAATAGACTGACTAGATATTTAGAAATATAACGGCACAAAAAGCGTTCTTCTTTCTCTTTCTAGTCGCCATCAAATTTCAGAAAGCAACATGAAAATTAGAACGTTAATTAGTTCCTCGGCTGATTGATTACAGTAAAATTTATCGAAGAATATGAAGAATTTACAAAGTCATCAGATCCATCGTGTCTACTACAATGCGTTGTAAATACTACGACGTCAAATATATAATATGCAAGCTACACATAGCCAAAGTTATTTCTATTTTTAACGCTTTATCGACTCCACACAGGCATATGTGCCCTCGATAACAAAAGTCATTTTCAAGAAGCTTTCCTTGGATATGGTTCGGAAGGCAATTCTTCAAGCTGGGCAACTGTGGTCGAGTATTTTTTACTTCTCGGCGCACAAACACGTCACATTAAACAAAAAACATTAAAATCAGCAGGTACATTGTTATCCACGGAGTAACACTGGAGCATCTGCTCGAATCTAGAATGTCAATAAAAAATATATTCATTTAACTATTGTCACACAAAATTATTCAAGAATGAAATATTCCATTATCTTTCTTTACAAATTTATGAATTATAAAACAATTATAAATAGGATAGATATACCCAGCGAGTTTTGTGTTGAGCAGTTTTGCTATCTGAGAACTTCAAGCTATTTAAAAAAATTTACAAACACGTACTTCTTACGAGATTCTGTAATAAAATATTACGTAATCATGGGTAATAATTTCTTTGATATATAATGTGCTTCATTTCAGATTTGGAGTTTACTTATAGCCGATAGCGCTCTTATAAGATACTAGTAGTCATTATAAATGATAATAATTAAGAAAATAACAATAATAAATGTAACTGCTTTAGACCCTCTTAAAACATACTTAAACGTGCAATGCTTCGGCCAGAGTATCACTTCAGACACAAAAATGTTTGTTAACAGAGACTGTTGTTGTAATTAAACAGAAGCATCAACAATTTGAAGAACATGTTATAATACGTCAACTAACTACATCTGATATATCCAATGCCGACGAGGCCTTTCGCAGAATACCAGAGCTCATCAAGCAGGCTGGGACGCGACAGACATAGTAGTGATGCTTGGAGACGGCTTGAATGGGTAATGAAGAAAAACTTTAATATAAGTTTAACATAACAGCAAATGTACAACGTTACGACAAGGTTTTGTCATCATCAGGTACAAGTAATTTACACTGACACACACACACACACACACATATATATATATATATATATACAGTATTGAACAAAGAGGTCACATGACTCATCTTTAATTCCCAGCTGAGCGTTGTATCTGGTGAAATTTTACGTTGGTAGTTTAATTTTTCTTTCTATTTTGCTTCTAATAAAATTCTGTTTCTGGTACGAAACTTGCTTGTTATTTGTTTCTTAACTTACTTCAAAACACACATATATATTTCTACTAATAGGTTTTGTTTTTTTCTATTTAAACCTGAAAACATAAGTTCTTGATCCTGACAAACGCGCGCGCTTCGTCTCCTAAATTATATTTATGGAGTTTTTGTCAGGAAGTTATAATTCAGTCACTGGTGTTATTTGCTATACACATTTAGAGCAGTGTAGGACGTTTCGAACTAGTTAGCGCAGGTGCTCTTATGTCATAAATGTGTTTAAAATCTTCAAATTTCTGATCAACAGTAGTTGGTTTGGTTTGTTTTGAATTTCGCGCAAAGCTACACGAGGGCTATCTGCGCTAGCCATCCCTAATTTAGTAATGAAAGACTAGAGGGAAGGCAGCTAATCATCACCACCACCCACCACCAACTCTTGGGCTACTCTTTTACTAATGAATAGTGGGATTGACCGTCATATTATAACGCCACCACGGCTGAAAGCAACAGTAGTTACCTAACAGTTATAATCAGGTGTATAAATTAGACTTGAGTCGTTTGCCAGTGCCTAGCGACGCCTTTAAATTTACATATATGGATTTGTACAACACCTTAAACACCTTAACATGAAGTAACAAGTTCGTAGTGTGGTTTACGGTTGTTAATTTTTAGGACCTCAAGAAATATCATATTCAAATGATTGTTGAAGATTAATTCCTTTTTTTATTTATTCAATGCTTTAGTTTGTAATATATTTTGGAAAACAGAACAGCGGCTTAGATTTCGAGTATTGAAATATTATATCTATCTATTTCGTCTCACCTTCGCTCCCTACAGACACCTGCAGACTTGGGCTGTGTTGGAATCCTCCAATAACGATCTCCGTTAGCCTTTCTCCAATAACCTTCGAAATAGTAGCTGAGCACGAAAGCCTCAGTCCCTCTGTGTGGAAATGTGTCTGACGGATCTGGAACCTTAGTCCGGCTGTCGACTGAATGTCACCGTTGGAATTTTGATAAGGAAGGTAGTGAACTACGTGAACAGGATCTGCCTTTAAAAAGAAAATGTAACACCGGTTTAATAGAACGTTATCCAAACTTTGGTACTAAGTAGCTGTCAGATATGGTACTAAGTAACTGTTAGATATGATACTAAATAACTGTCAGATATTATGCTAAGTAGCTGTTAGATATGGTACTAAGTAACTGTCAGATATGATACTAAGTAGCTGTCAGATATGGTACTAAGTAACTGTTAGATATGATACTAAATAACTGTCAGATATTATGCTAAGTAAGTGTCAGATATCATACTAATTAGATGTTAGATATGATACTAAGTACCTAACTGTCAGATATGGTACTAAGACGCTGGCGTGAGACGAAAATTGTAACTTTGGTAAACTGTAAGTGTAAGACCAACATGTCGTCTCAGTTCATTTACTTGCGGATACTAAACTTCTTTCTGGTCAAACTCTTGAATGCATGTTATACTATTCAATGTGATGCGGAGACCAAAAGAGTTGCCATCCACACAGATTCAACTTTGAACCTTAGTAAGCAATAGACATCTGAAATGTGTACACAGCAATATCTGATCATCCTATAATAATTCAGGTTGTAACTTTGTATATATGTATGTCCAGCTCACTCCTCCTAGGTTATGGAACTGGTAGGAGTAATAAAAATCAGTTGATGCAGATACATATCAAACTTGAAATATTTATCCCATAGATCTAATACTTAAAAAACGTTCAACAAATACAAATGGAGCACATTATTTCGATTTAAATATTGGTGTTGATAATCAAACACTTTCTTGAAGGTTTATAATGAATCGGCGAATATTATGTTATTAAAGCTATGGATTTCTCGTTTCCAGACGTAAACAATCCAAATTGTTCGAATTTATTCTAATTTGGAAGATTTTGGACAGAGAGCTCGAAAACGAAAAATTACACACGGTATTGTTTTAAATGTTGTGGAAAATACAATTCATTTTAAACTAAGACGTATAAGGCTGACAATTTTACCAGTTTACATATAATCTTCAATAAAAATGTCATGAAATGAAAATGTCATTATTAAGACTATTATCAATTGTAATTATTATTGTAGATTCTTTGGAGCTCTTCTGGTAGAAGCTATTACATAAATGGAAAAGTAAATCATAAGACGCGTTTGTGTTGAAAAAAGTGACACATTTCGGAGCATTTCTAAACTTTTAACATGCTTTTGACACACTTGCCTTTCCGAAAGCTTATTTTATGACACACTTTTTGAATAATCTTCACATTTTATCTTTGTTTTGTGACTCACTGGACTATAGTTTCTATAGTAAATTATTATTATTCTCGTATTTATTTCCTAAACTTCAGCATAGGTATGTATCCCTGATATGTTTTTGTTGTTGTCATTTAAATTTTCCTTGTTTTAATTTTATTTTCTGTATATATTACTTAAATGTCAAGTATTTTGTAGGACAGTTGTGCATGTTTTTCAGATAATGTTGTATGTTACACACATAATTTAAACTTAATTTTCTTAAATAGTTCTTTGATATAGTAATACTATTTAGTATATAAAAAGTTAAGAAATAACGATTGCTTCGTTCATTGAAAACATCGTGGACCAGAATACTGTGCACAGCGTTTGTTTTAATATATTTTTGTTTTTCTAAAAAATCAACGTTACCTGGACTCCATTAATATACCAAGCTAGTCTCTGAGGTTTCTTCAGGGGAACAGACGTACAGTTCAGTTCCAATATGTCTCCAACTCCATATCTGTTGTTTTCACCGGAGATTTTCGGTCCTCCAGTATGAACTAGTACATCTGGAGCTGCATGTCGAATAGGATTAATGTAGTGTAATTACACACTCTAGACTCACAAAACAACAACACAAGACACTCAACGAGTATCGTTGAGAAGCAATTATTAAGTCAATTAGACATTATTAGAAACAGTTAAAGAAACGTAATTGGATTTATTCAAACACAAGCCCACTTAACATTTCACTCGTTACGTATTCAAACAATGAATAACTTTTAAATTCGGAATACGTCTAAATCCTTGAAAAAAAAAAGAAAAGAAACTATAATATTCTGTCATTTGGTGATTTTTGACATCCAACATTATTAAAACATCAACATACAAACAATCTAAGGAGTTATGGAATTATTGCTGCGCGAATATTGTTGCAAATGTTCATACCACCAACATTATTAAAACATCAACATACAAACAATCTAAAGAGTTATAGAATTATTGCTGCGCGAATATTGTTACAAATGTTCATACCACCAACATTATTAAAACATCAACATATAAACAATCTAAGGAGTTATGGAATTATTGCTGCGCGAATATTGTTGCAAATGTTCATACCACCAACATTATTAAAACATCAACATACAAACAATCTAAGAAGTTATGGAATTATTGCTGCGCGAATATTGTTGCAAATGTTCATACCACCAACATTATTAAAACACAACATAATGTGAATGTTTACCGTATTGATGATTTGTATTATTCTTCGAACATACAGGTACATGTTACACACATGGATTACTGAATTTAATGTGTCCATAATGACAGGTCAATATATAGTACGGTGGTTTGTTTTGCTCACAGTAGACTTGAATGCTATTGTCCTTCGTCAACTAAATTACGTATTTTTTGAAACCTTTCTTAAACATTCAAAAGTAAATTGATAAAATAGCGTGTTTTTATGGTACAGAGTGGGACTTTGATATTTATTGTGAAAATATTTTGGTAGAAAATGTAATTAATTTCACAGTATTCGATGAAGACAAAGCAAAGTGATCAATAAATAATATTATTTGACTGAAAGTAAGTCTGAAAATCGCTAAATTACGTGATGTAACTTGTTATTTTGTTTTTGCACAAAGCTACACAATAATCTATCCGTGCTGTGCCTACCACGTGATGTAACTTTTTATTTTGTTTTTGCCCAAATCTATCCGTACTGTGCCTACCACGTGATGTAACTTTTTATTTTGTTTTTGCCCAAATCTATCCGTACTGTGCCTACCACGTGATGTATCTTGTTATTTTGTTTTTGCAGGAAAAAAATACTATTACGATGGTAATACTTGTTCATTAACATTATAGGCTATCTGCACTGTGCCTACCACGTGATATAACTTGTTATTTTGTTTTTGCACAAAGCTACACAATAATCTATCCGTGCTGTGCCTAACGCGTGATGTAACTTGTTATTTTGTTTTTGCCCAAAGCTACACAATAATCTATCCGTGCTGTGCCTACCACGTGATGTAACTTGTTATTATGTCTTTGCCCAAAGCTACACAATAAGCTATCCGTGCTGTG